TTTCCGGTCTGAGAAGCGTACAGCACGAGAAGCTTCCTCTGCTTTTCTCCCATCGCCGCCACTTCACCTCCGGAGCTTAGTCTGCGGAAACTGATATCCGGACAGGATCGATTAAAACCCAGAAAAAACGATTAAAATCGAGGAAAAAATCGGTTATGTGTTCTTTTGTATAAAGAAAAAAAAAAAAGAAGCAAGACTGCCACCGTTAACGAAGAAGACTCTAAAAGTCTAGCCCAATTACAAAGGGGAGCCCAATAATCTAGCACATAAGCCCAATATGTGCTTTTATTTTGATCAAAGAAGAAAAATATGCGTTTTTATTTGGTGTCTCTTTGTTTCTGATAATGTGATAGACTCGTTGTTTCGGTGTTGTAAAGTCAAGACACTCGTTTCGTTGTGCTTTTTATGCAAAACACACATATTACTCTTTGTTTAACCTCGTAGTCAGCTAAAATACAGTTGATTAACTCTAATATTACTTTCTTTTTTATCAACACCTCTAATATTACTAATATATTGTATTTTTGATTTCATGATTAACCCTAAAATCCTATTAAACCCAATGATACTCAAGACAAGTTCTTGCAAAGTAAGAACAAAGACTCAACAAGAAACAATCACTCAAACATCAGTTTATTCATACAACATCCCCCTCCATTTGAAAAACAGCAGATAACAACAAGTATCAGATCATTAAAAAAAAAGTAGAAGCCATTCCTGTAACCAAAAAAATAGCAGAGCACTCTGGAGTTACAACACACAAGACACAAACAAATCAATCAGAATCTCTTAAAGCAACTAAACAAGAGCTCTGTATTATCTAAACAACTAACAGTTTCTCTCTTCACCAAATCCAAAAACAGAGAATTCTAAGCTCTAAATGTGCATCTATATGTGTTATTACTTACGACGAGAAAAAGAAGAGATGGGTTTGGTCTAATCTCGAGTACGAAGAGAAGCGAGAGTTGAAAGGTTCAAAAACAAATCAAGCACATCACATGGGTTGGTAGAGATTAGAGAATCACAGCTCGCAAAAGCAATGGAAGGAGAAGAGAGTAGGTACCGGTTTCAGAAACGGAACTTGATCGAAACTTTATCGGAGACTTGTAAACGGAGGCGATGGCCGATGGGTTTCGATTTTCGAAGGAGAAGAGAGTAGTTGAGGCGGTGGAGATTGGAGACGGCGGAGATCAGAGAGTCGGAGTCACGGAGATGATTTGATCGAAGTTCTTCTCGACAAACGTTGTTTGTCAAACGACAACGTTTACTACAAAAAAAAAATTAATAAGTTAAATGGATTACCATTTATATTAGTTTAAAACCCATATAATAAATGGGTCACATATGGGTTACCCATATAAAACCTAATTACCTTAATGGATTTAAATGGGCATTTAATTTTTTCCGAACCCATTAAAAGCCCACGAATTCTAACCATATTAACATCCCTACTTGCAGAAGAGAAAAAAAAGTTAGTTCTTGCTTAAATGGTGGGATCCACCTCTTAAGAATTTTCTTAAGAATGGATTTAATCATGGTTTTAATCGGTCTGTGAGATTCTGACTCCAGAACCCAATATGAACATTTGGGTTAAAATTGGACTTTATTAAAACTTTGCATCTGCATGAACATTGTGGTTTTATTATCTAAATTCCGCAATAGGCTCAAGTGTAACACAGGACAAGAATGTACGTACTTCTATTTAAGTATTTTAAGCGCGTTTAGCTCATGGAGCTTACAAACCAATAGACTACTAATTAAATTCCAAACGAAAACAATGCAGCCATCACGGTAATTAGGTGCGTGATTCTTATTTGAGCAAAGATAATTATAAAAAAAAATATCATTTGTTAAGTTTTTTCCCAAACATCAGGCATATATATTTATCTTTTAATATTACTAGTAATTTACTTACAAAATAAATTTTGTTTCTTAGTTTCCCGCAATATATATAAATAAATAGACGGCAATAATTGCTTCTTTTTTTTAGCTTAACTTGAGAATGGCACGTCATGATTGAGGGACAGGCATAGAGGCACCGACGCATCTTTCTTAATGCTCGTGGATGGTATTAATTGGCAATGTCCTTTTTCTACCTATATTATTTTGAAAATTACTTTTCCTTTATTTAATAGTTTAACATCCCCAACAATACAATTTATTAGAGTATTTTTTTTTTTTATAAATGGTCAAACACAAACCTATTACCACAACAAAAAAAAGTTGCTCAGATTCACAACACACAAAAGAAGACGGCTTGCATTTATTTAGTTTCTTTAATCTTCGGTGCGGTGATCATAGTTTCTGAAATCAACACTTAAATGCATTCAGGTAATAAACCATTTCATGCATAGCAATACTATATATGGTGAGACCTCAGACATCAATTTCGTTGGCGTGTGCCTTTCATATTAAAACTCTTTGCTATACCTCTAACAACAAACTAATCCATCATAAATTTGTTATCACTCGCGAAAACAAATCCTTTTCAGTCGACAACATAAAAACTAAAATTATTTTGTACTTTATGCATTTCAGAATATTATCAAATTAAGATTTATATTCCGGCATATTCTTTTGATATTATATGTTTTCTAAAAATATGTTAAAAGTTTATTTGAGATATTATATATAGGGGAAATGTGTGTATATATATATGTGTGTGCACTCATGTGACGTTTCTATAATTCTAACCTGGGAAAATAGTAAAATAAAAACAAAGCAATCAACTCTCCTGAGTCCTGATCACGGACCGTTGTCCTTTATCTATTATTTTGGTGATTTTTTTCAATTCTCATATCGACTATGTTTTTAATTTACTTTCTGTTTCTATTTTTTGTTTCTCCACAATAGGAAGTCTGTCAAAACATATACTGTAAAGTATAACTCACGTGCAGTAAAACTATTCGGTATCCATATATGCAATTATGCATGAATGTAGGAGAGACTTAAACATATGTTAATCACTCACTCCAATGAGACACTATCCGAATAAGACTTAAATAGGAGATGGATTACATTCCTCTATAAAACCCACCTAATAAACTATTCGGCCTATTAGTTAATTGGCTCAGCCGGAATGCTCTAGATGGACTTAGCCGTCCCTACCTAACTCAATGCCACGAGTCAGTTGAGTCAACTCGACTCGTCCATATTGAATAAAGAGCACAAGTCTACAAGCTCAGTCCATGAGAGGAGTTCGGATCCATTAGATCAAGTCAACCACGAGAGACCAAAGAATTTATAAGAGGGATAGGAAAAGTAACATGAAAGAGATCCGAAATTTATCACACTCACATGATGGATACAAACTAAGGTTTCTACTGGTTTGTATTTTTCGGCTAGTTCTTTTATTCACCTCCAATTCGTAATCGTCTCTTTTCTGATATAAAATGCTTTTCGAGTAAACCCATCAATTGAGTTAGATTTTTCTGTAGAATTAAGAACCAAACTCAGATTCAATAACTTAAGAGTATGATTAGTCCGGAGTTCTTAAGATGAGATTTTTAACGGAAATTAACAAATTGTTTTTAATTTTTAACTTAAAAAATTAAGAACTGATTCTTAAATAAAGACTTTAAGAATTTATTCTTAACTTTTTTAGTTAAAATTTAAGAAACAGTTTCTTAACTTTCGTTAAAAATTTCACGCTATAAGTTCTGAATTAATCATGGTCTAACATCTGAAACAAATCTGAAATTAAATTACTATCATGATTCCAAAATAATGAAGAAGAGATCATCGAGGTTGGGAAGAATATGACACTACTATAGTTAGCATGTTCCGATACCACTCTAGAACCTCATCATCAATCTTGCAACATTTATCTATATGTTTTGTAAAATGTATGTTCATTTTCTTTCCTACTGCTTTCTACTTGTTTAAGCTTTAAACATTGATTGTATGATTTACGAGTTTAGTTGAATAACCTTTATAATAAAATATCACTTTGTTTAATGTATTGTTCTTCACAAAGTAATCTGTTTTTATGCTTCAATTATTTCAACCAAAAACTTATATGCATATACTAATTAATGACTAATAAAATAACTAATCAATATAAAACATAACAGTTTAATAAATATAATATTTTACTAGTATAATATTTAATTTTCTGTTTTTGCGTCTGCCAAAATTTTTGGTTTTAGAACTACTCCAATGGTTATATTCAATGAAGGAAATGAGTTGTGACAAGACTTGTTGATGCGGTTCAATAAAAAATTTGTTACTGGACTTCCTAATAATATTACTTAAATACAAATAATGAATTTGGTGATTCTACTTAAATTGATTAATGATTTAGTCAAACACACTTCATAGGTTGACTCTTGTCAACCATATGTAACTTGTGAGAAGAAAAGAAACCAGAAAGGTTTATTATAGAAACTAACTCAGTAACTAACTGGTTATTAATCTTTTAACTGAGAAACAGTTTATGTTACGGCCTACACTTACGTATCAGTGTATATTACTATCACTTACATCCACGCCAAGTTGAAATTACTACACTGGTTATTAAAATCTTTATATTTTTCGTCAGTATTGTTAATATTTTGATTGTAAAACATCTCTGAAAATATATTTATTTATCTTAGCATGTATTCATGCAATTTTGGAATCTTAGATGAGCGATTTTACAATATAAAAATGTTTATTTTCCCTGAAAAGACTACTGATTATGTTCATTTTGTAAGGAAACTGACTATCATTATAGGTAATTCAAACAACAAAGAAATTTCAAAAGGAAAGATATATTGAGACAGGACATATTTTTATATTTTTCTAATAATCAATACTATAAGACTTAAATTTTATAAAAGAAAAATATCAAGTCAATGTAGTATTTTATAGTATATATATTTATTAACAAAAAGACAGGTCCGTGAAATTTAAAGATTATTATTTCCCTCATAAATTTCTTTTTTTCTATTTATATTTATAATGAAGATGAAGCTATATAACAATGGCTGCAACTGTCTATAACACAGAAAAGGTTAACAAAACGGTCACAAAAAAAGACTACCGACAAAAAAAAAAAAAGACAACTCATTTTTTTTCATTGCAGTGTTCATCTTTTCTCACATTCTTGTCTTCTTTCTTCCCAATCTCTCTGACGAGCTTCGATTCCGTGTTCTCTGGTGATCACCGACCGGATCTGCTCCAAGAAACAATCTCATCTACATTGTCTCTCTTCCCAAACTCAAAAGTTTCACCTTTTGCCATTGCAGAGCTTCCTTCTAACTTGGAGAGTTAGCTTCCAAGTCTATAATCAAAACTAAGATCTGGGTTTTATCTTGTAGCTCATAGAGTGTTTGTCTATTCATAAAACTCAGATTAGTCTTCTAGACTTAAAAAGCGTTAGAATCAGTTTGATGAATAGGATTTAGAAATGTGTAAAGCAGAGAAGTCTTTATACCAAAGGAAGCTCTGGGAGATGAAGGTTAAATTTCTAGGAGATAGCAAGATTGAAAAATTCAAAAACTCCTTGGTTGCCAAGTCTCGTATGAGCTTATGGATGATTCGTGCTATCACCATATTGTTGCTGTGGAGTTGTTTTGTTCATTTGGTTGCTTTGGGTGAGATGTGGGGTCCAAGATTGTTGAAAGGTTGGCCTTCTTGTTTCAATCACCATGATCACTTCCCAGTGGCTACACAAGAAATGGCTTCTCTTCCCATGAAAATCGCCTTCCCTCCTAAAAGTAAGCTTATCTTTAACTGCAACACTCTTGGGAATGTTTTTGTTTTTTTTACTATCGTTGGAAGACCAGAGTTTTGATCAGTGTTCTAAAAAATTGGTCTAAGACTAGTTGGCAAATGGAACCAAAATGAAATGATTTTTCTAGAACGGTTTTTTAAAAATCGGTTTAGACACAGTTTAGTCAATAATCTCATATAAAGTGCTTATCAATTTTGTGTGGTCTTTGTTTTCTATTAGGGATATATCAGAACAATGGATATCTTATGGTTTCTTGCAATGGAGGACTCAACCAAATGCGAGCAGCGGTAAAAGATCATAACTAATATTTTTCGCCTTGTCAAAAGAAGCTTAGATATGACTTTGGGATTCTGTTTTCTTTTCTTCAGATATGTGATATGGTTACTATTGCAAGATACATGAATGTCACACTTATTGTACCAGAGCTTGACAAGACCTCTTTTTGGAATGATCCTAGGTATTATTGTTATTGATATTCATCTCACTCAGAGCTTCTTCTAACTTCTCTTGGAGTTTTTTGATCGGATTCTTATGTGGGCAGTGAGTTCAAAGACATATTCGATGTGGATCACTTCATAACTTCTTTGAGAGATGAGGTTCGTATACTCAAAGAGCTTCCTCCAAGGCTTAAGAGAAGGGTAGAGCTCGGTGTATACCACACCATGCCTCCTATTAGCTGGTCCAACATGTCCTACTACCAAGACCAGGTTCTTTTCTTGGTGAGATTAGTCTTTTTTTTTACTGGAATGGTTTCTCATGGCTTCTTGAAAACAGATTCTTCCCTTGGTGAAGAAGCATAAGGTCTTACATCTGAACAAGACAGATACTAGACTTGCTAATAACGAGCTGCCTCTCGAGGTTCAGAAGCTGAGATGCCGAGCAAACTTCAACGGACTTAGGTTCACTCCAAAGATTGAGGAACTAGGTAGAAGAGTAGTCAAGATTCTGAGAGAGAAAGGTCCTTTTCTGGTTCTCCATCTCAGATACGAAATGGATATGTTGGCATTCTCTGGTTGCTCTCATGGTTGCAACCGCTACGAAGAGGAAGAGCTCACAAGAATGAGATATGCTTATCCATGGTGGAAGGAGAAAGTAATAAACTCTGAGATGAAGAGGAAAGAAGGTCTCTGCCCATTGACACCAGAAGAAACAGCTCTGACACTATCTGCTTTAGGCATTGACCGTAATGTTCAGATCTACATAGCTGCTGGAGAGATATACGGTGGTAAAAGGAGGTTAAAGGCCTTAACAGACGTTTTTCCGAATGTGGTTAGTAGCTTATTGTCTGAAATATTCACTATTGACACTATCATAGTGTCAGTAACTAACTGATGAAACCTTTTGATCATTTCAAAACCAGGTGAGGAAAGAAACTCTGTTAGATTCCTCTGATTTGAGTTTCTGTCAGAACCATTCTTCTCAAATGGCTGCTCTTGATTACCTCATCTCTCTCGAAAGTGATATATTCGTTCCTACTTATTATGGGAACATGGCTAAAGTCGTTGAAGGTCATCGCAGGTGAATCATTATTATTGCTAAAAAGAAAATGTAATGTTTCTTGCATCATTAATGGCTAATGTCACTTAATCAACATACAGGTTCTTGGGGTTCAAGAAGACAATTGAGCTAAACAGGAAGTTTTTAGTTAATCTAATAGATGAATACTACCAAGGACTATTGAGCTGGGAAGTGTTTTCAACCACGGTGAAGTCCTTTCACGCTACAAGAATGGGAGGTCCAAAGAAGCGGCTTGTGATTCCTAATAAACCTAAAGAAGAAGACTACTTCTATGCTAATCCATATGAATGTCTTCAGCTGTTACATGAGAATAATGGTGATTCACTAGAAGGAACCATATGATATGTCCCACCATTGTCGTCTTTGTGGATGGAGATTAATGGTGAATCCATATGTGGATGCAAGACATGGATGGATGAATAATGGAGTTATTATCTACGGAGAGTGTATATCAATCTCAGTTAGGGTTCTTTGGTGTATATGGACTTGAGAAGAGCTTCCGTGGATGAGAAGGTAGGTTTGAGCTTTCATTGTAAAGTTTGAAAATCTATCCTTTGGCATCATCATCATCCTTGGGCTTGCAGTTTTGGACTTTTGGTAGCTGGAGAATAAAATTTTACATGCTGTGTATTATAATTATTATAATAAATTTTACACATTATTATAATTATTTGAGAATAAAATTTTACATGCTGTGTTCTATTTCATTTTTCGTGCAATCATTGTTTATTTGAATACATGTACATCAAACGGTAAGAATAAACTCAAATAGGATACTATGTGGTTAGATTGTCACAAAACTGTATAACATAAAGGTCTTCAAGGCTCAAGAAAAAAAAAATCAAGCATTTTTGATCAATTTATTTACAACCATTGAGTCATTGAACAAAAAATAATTTGGCTGTATTTATACAAATAGATTGCCACCAAATATAAAAAAAAGAAAACTCCTTGTTTTATAATTCTATTTCGAATATGCTTTATCCTTTGGTCCCCGAAGGAGGCTTTTGTCGTGTATCTTCTTCATTTCTCATCAATCACTTTCTCTTCTGAAATCAATATAGCCGTTGGAAGACTGATATTATTGGCATGTTGATACGAGCCACAATTCAAAAACAAGCTTAAGCTATAAACATATTGTCTACCTTCCATTGTTTCTTCAAGATTCAGTGATAAAAGAGTTGATGATATCGATTCAGCTAGTGTTTTGAGGGGAATTGAGATGACTTTACGTACAAAGATTCTCCAAGATTTGGTTGATTGTCGTTTATCAGAAAATAAAAGTTTGACCCATTTCATTGAGATAGAATCGTAGAAGTCATTCATTATACATTGTACAAAGGACGGTTACAGTTTGTAATATATGAGCCTAAAGTAAGAATACATAGATTGAAGACAAAAAAAATAAAACAAAACTAACAAAACAGATTCTATTTGTAAACATATATATAGGCCTGATAAACATTTCTTCTAACATAATGATCAACTTCTACGTTTCTTAAACTACATGCATATGACCGTATATGTCATCAAATATCAATTATGTATTGGAGTCCTTTTCCTTCCTTTCATACGTGAAGGATAGTCGCTTCTCATGAGATTATCAATTTCTTTTGAGGCTACACCTTGTGTAGATCTTTTCATTGTTTCGGACTTGATAGGCTCTAGACTTTTCAACTGTCACAACACATATATATACAAAAAGATGTCAAAATGAATCTTTCTAACAAGTATTTGTATTTTTTATGTCTATATCTATGTTTCACAGTTATCATTCAAATTTTACTAATTGTAGTACGAGTAACTAATCTGTAGCTATTAGTTTAACACTAAATCAAAGCTTTGATTAAAACTTTAGCTTATATACCTTTCGTCCCATCAAGAGAGGCTCATTTCCGCTTACCATAAGACCATAGTTTTCATATTTGGATCCACCTACATCGATGTTTCTACCTGTAAGTTCTCAAAGAAATAAACATCAGCTTCACATGTTTACACCTTCATACGTTTACGTTTATCGACATGACAAACACATGGATGTAGACCACAACACACACACACACACACATAGTACATAAAAGGAAGATATAATTAACGAGAAGAAAACCAAAATAAGAGGAGGTAACTAAGATCCCTTGATCTTTGTACAAACCTTGAAGCGCATGAGGAAGACGGATTATCATCATGAGGATGAGAAACCCTATAACGAGTGTAATTATTAACTTTGCGTTTGTGTTCTTCATCTCGTTTGCCTTTGTCAATATTAACGAAGCGATATTATGACTTTAGTTGATGTGAATGAAGCTCATTTATATACAAGGGTTATCTATACATACATATGTATATGATTTTTTTTCTGAAATCAGAAAAAAGTGGAAGCTAGGGTTTTCCGACAGTTCCATAGGCAAGACAAAAAGCCACTTCACATCGGTAATTGTTTATGCCAGAGATATATAATACTAATTTCAGGCAGCAAACAACATTCAGAAATTGGTCAAACAAATTAAGAAAAAAGTGTGAAAGCAAAAAAAAAAAAAAGACAACAAATATTGGTTTTACCATCTCTTATAAATAAGCTATCTGGATAAAACAATTTAGATCATGCATGATACTATTTCATTCAGATAGGATGTATATATAGTACAACACAAACCGATCAAACAATTCTTTATGGCAAAACGATCAAATTAACTTCTTTTATGAAAAGAGCATTTTGTATAAAATGAAATATTGTAATTTTATAGAGAGAATCGAAAGTAAAGAAATTGAAATAGTAAATCAAGAAAGTCGGTACCGACATGGAGTATAAATTAAAAGGACAAAGATTTCTCTTGAAGAAATCAAGAAGGCATGGCATGGGGTGTTCATGAGTTTAAGTGCCCGAAAGTGACACTAGTGTTTAAGTTAATAATAATTCTTTATTTAACGCTTAGGGTTTCTAAATAAAGCATCTCCTTTTGTAGTTCCAAAAATCTTTTTAACCGTGGGTTTACTGAAAATGCTTAGTTTGTACTAGATTTAACTAAACTTGTACTAAAAAAAGCATACTATAATGTTAAAATCTTTACGTCGAATTTGATATATTCTTTTTGAAACACGAGAGCGAGTCGCCCGATTCAATCCTTGTGGTCTTGTTGTGGGTGGGGATGCCACTTGAAAATAAGTAATTTGGCTATATGGTTATATGTATTTCCAAAAAGCAGTTGGTAACTAGTTTTAGTATCTCTTAGAGTTCATGTCATCACTCAAGATTAGCTAAGACCACTCCAACAATAGATCCACCATTAGAGTTCTAAATCAAAATTTTAAGTGAATAATTAAATTAAAATTTTTAGATACTTGTTTAATTTTAGCCATTCCAATGGTAGAACTAATTAAAGATTCTAAATTTCAAAAATTAGAAAATTTATACTTGCATCACACTCTATAATAAAAATACTTATAATTACTGAATTACATTAAATTTAAATTAATTTGACATAAAAATATATAACATATATTAAGAAATCATAAATAAAACTAAACGATTAATAGTTATCTTGTGGTGTCAGTCTTGTGAGATACTTTTCTCCAAACAAATTTATGATTCTTTCAACAAAACTTTCTAAGCATGAAACAATATGTTCACCAAGACGGAGGTATTCGTCAACCACATCAACCGCACAACCATACACCATCATACGAAGGGAGAGAATACGAAAGGAGAGAGACAAAGAATAATTACGGGACAGACAAATAATATTTTTTTTAAAAAAAATACCACCTCTCACAAAATGACACATGTCATTTAGAAGTGGATCCAAAACTTCCAATTGTAGAATAATATCTATCTAAATTATGTCTTTTTTATTTAAATTTAATCACATAAATACTTAGTTACATCATTTAGAAGTGCCTTGCATACTCTTTTTGGACATGCTCTAAAACACTGAATGTCAACTCACTTGTAACTCTTTATTCTTGCATATTAATTCAAGTAATGATCGATACGAATAAACAAACCTGAAACCTTATTTCTATGTTAAGCACTTGTATTGCTTCAAAACACTAGCTTAAGCTCTGGCTTTATCTCTACTACTCTCTAAAAACTGTGTGACATTTTGTCATAGCAGTAATGGTTACTTACATTTAATAGAAGAAGGCCTTTTTCAAAAAAAAAAAAGACTGAAACCTTACAAACATTTAAAGAATTTACATAAACATGATATTAAAAGTCGTAGGGCACATAGGGTAGCTAACTTTCTGTTTCTGTTCATTTATCTTACAAAGTTAATGAGAGGCCTTTTTATGTTCTTGTTGTCCAGTATAATCCTTACGCATTAGATCGACAAGTTCCTCTGATTCCAATGAATCAACCTTAACCGATGTGCTCATAAACGCGGGATCTCACCGGCCCTAAACCATTTCAGACTTGCAATATCAGATGAGTAACATGATGAAGAAAAAATAGTAAAAAAATAAAAATGCACTAGTGGTCTTGAGCATGACTGAAGAGTAGACCAGTAATCTTTTTTTTTTAATGGACTAACAGACTACTAATCCAAGACTAGATCTTTCAATTTCACAAACCACATGGACAACTAGAAGCCCAAAACTACTAGAAGAATTTCACATTTTCAACAGCTCAAGCTACATAGGCCCAAAACAAAAATCATTTGCTGACACGAAATGGTTACCTTGGTAACATGTCAACAAACCAGAAGCCAAGGTAACAAAGATTATAGCATCAAAGATGATTTTATTATTGAAACAAAACACAAAAAGCTCAGAGTATAGACTGTCTCCATCTTAAATAGAATTACACCATCACTATTTAAATAAACTCCGGCGACTTAAAAACCAACTGAATAATCGCCAGGAAATGAGAAAAAAAAAACAAAACAGGGAAGTAAGGAAGATTGATGATAGGTTGAACTAATAACCAAAACTGAGGTGGTGGTTTTTTTCTTGCTGCTCAAGCTTTAGTGGCCGGGTTAAGCTCATCCCAAGCTTCAATCCAAGTCACCATAGCATCAGCAAGCTTGTCAAAGTAAGGATCAATGGCGCTAAGCTTCTCCTTCACCATCTTGGACAGCTCAATGTAGCATTGTTGAACCGTCACAGCTTCTTTGGAGAGCTTTGCGCTCTGGAAGAAAGGAATGATATCCTCCTGCCAGAAAATTCCCTTGTATTCCTTCTTCAGGTTCACAAATGGGTTGCTTGCCTTGCTGTGGTAAATATAAGGCAGACCTGTCTTCACTCCCAATCCCAAATGGTCACAGATCACCTAAAGAAAAGGGAAATAAGAGACATGTAAGTATTCAAATATAGTTCAAGTTAAGTAGGAGAATGAGAAAGAAAGTACCTTGACACACCATCCAGCCCACATGTCGTCGTAGCGACCAATAGGCTGACCATCACCCATGAGACCAAAGTACATAGCCGGACCAATGAGATCACGGTCAAAGGCCAAGTTCATACCACACATTGGGAAAAGTGTTCCCTTTGGGATGGTCATAACAGCATCCACATACCTTCATAATGATTATTTGTCAGCTAACAAAGATTGAGTAAAATGTTTTTAAAAAAAAAGAAGATGTTAGATCACTACCTTGTGTTCCTTTCCTTAGGCTTCACGAGCTGAGTTGGAGCATCGTAATCAGGGATGTTGAGCCAAAGACCGTGAGAAACGGCAGTGGAAACACCCTCACGGAGACTGAAAGGGTATCCACGGACGAAGTCAGCACCTTCACGGTATGGGTCGTACAAGGTGTTGAAGAAAAGTGGAGATGATGGGCAGAGAAGGTTCTTGATGTGTTGCTCAAGAGCGTTCACTGCTTTTCCAGATGGATCCTTGGCAACCTTTTACACATGACAACAAACATAAATTAAAAAAAAGTATTATTCAAATCTAACTGAAGCCAGAAATAAAATAAAATAAAAAAACATGATGAACAACACGTTACACGTGATTAAACCAACACATCGTGAAAAGTAACATCCATACTACAATCATGACGTAACTGCCAAACTCAAATTCTTGAACAAGCCACACAATTCCTTAAACAGGGAATTAAATTTTTGGACTTTTCGGACAATGACATGCATGAATCTTGTGAAGCTATGAGTCTATGACATAGACATATTGATCCAAACAACAATGTCATCACTAAAATTACATAAACATAAGAGATCGTGACCCAGTACAATCAATGTTCTAAAACTCGATGTTGGCTGAGCCTAAGGCTTGTAAGAGAATCCGAGTTATACTGATACATTCATACAAATAATTTTATAATTAAACAAAAACTAAAATATCTAATATAAATATAAAATATATATGAAAATAAATCAATAATTAATTTCTAATAAAAACCTAGGCTCGAATAATCAGCTTAGTGGTTAGTCAGTAGATAAAATGCTAGTTACAGCTTAGCTAGTTATTGATCATTGCCACAAGCATACAATCACAATTCTGAAACCAGATCGAGAACAATACAAACAGAAGAATGTATTAGATCTGTTAAATCTACCGACAGTGTAACATTAACAATCCTTAAACACCTAACACGAAAGCAGATCTACCACATTCAGACAAAAACAGAGTTTGAGAATTCTGCGAAAACTTACGAAGCAATCATCGTCAATAGTGAAGATATACTTCTTCTTAGACACCATGTAACCAAAGCAGCGACAAGCAGAGTCCTTAAACGAGATGCACGAAGCTTTCGGACCAAGGATACGGTTAATATCATTCCTGTTGTAGAGCTCGTAATCGAACCCTTCGGGAACATTAATGGTCTTGGAAGGATCTCCGTCTTGGACGATGATCAGATGGTAAGGCTGGAGAAAAGGTCTCCACATCTCGAGGAAATCGAGGTTACGGATGGTAGGGATCACGATGTCGAGCTCATCTTTCAGCAACGCCGTGTGGTTCAATGGGATTCCAACGGTATTGGCCGGTTCAACCATGATTGATGATTTTGGTTGGAGAAGGGAGGGGTTTGAGATGGGTGTTTGAAAACTGAGATTGGACTCGAAGACCTTCGTTGTGATTTTTATAACAGATCCGGCACGTGGGAGGTAATTGTGTGAGGGTTGACACGTGGTTGATGTAGACTCGTTCATGGTCAAAAAGAGTTTTCTATTTTGTCTGTTGATGTCCGTTTTCTATGGAGTTTGTCTTATTGGTTTACAAATATCTCATTTCTTTTAATTGATTACCGAAGGTTATCATCTAGTATAGAGAATATATTTTAAGCTATTAATTTCTAGAAAATTAAATGTGAATCTTTTTAAGAATATATTCTTATTATTCAAAGTATTATTAATTATCAGTTGATTATTCAGTATGTAAAAAAAAAAATTGATTAACGTATAAGAATAAATCATTTCGATTCAAAAAAAACAAATATTCGACATCAAATAAATTTCAAAAATTCCAATGATAAACATTAAATCTTTAAGTGAAAATTGATAGATTTGATTATTTAATTTAATTTTGTTATAATTACAATAAGCACAAAATTTTGTTTTGGTTTAAGTTACACTCGTGTTATTTTTGTGTTTGTCATTAATGTCTTGTGTGCCTAAGTTTCGAGTGATTCAAAAGTTGAAAAATGTTAGGTTTAGCTAAAGCTAGATATTTTAGCTATCAATTAATTGGTTGATAGATTTTCTTGTTTGATTTAGGTACGTTAACATTAATGTATATATTTTTCGTGTGTGCGTTTTTACCAAACAAAAAAGTCGACTGTGCAAGCGATATAAATGGTGGATACAAAACTGAACAATAGTTAATACTTTTGTTAATTAATAAAAAAAGAACAATAGTTAATACTTTTTGACCGGAGTGTAACATCAATAAAGGTGTTAATTATCATTTTAACATAGGGCTTGCTTCTTCATACAAAAGATTAATTAATAAAAAATGTATTGTACTTTACGATGAAACGAAGGAACATTTGCATGTGGGAAACTATAAACCTTAGATTATCTTTTAAGTTTGACATTCCTTTTAGAGTTTAGCCAAGTTGGTATATGCGTATAACTGCTCACTAATTCTTTATATTATCTTGTAGAATTCCATAGCTTTTAATGGACAAAATATTATCAACAAGTATAATTAACTTCTTGTTTACAACGAAAGAACCATTAAATCATTGGAATCTAATATATACGTCGTGGGACGTTCGTTGATGCACGTTGCCTATAATCATTGCATACATCGTGAAATATCTTGTTTTCAATCCGTATAACATTACATGAACTTATAACTATTAAACATCAAAAGCTGGAACGTCCAACTTGAAGAAGAAGATATATAAGCAAGTCAGGTAGCTAAAGAAACGCATACAAATTCAATTTAACCTGGCATAATAACAAACAAATACAGTATCAGAAAAGTTACTCGTATACATAAGCTTTAAATTTATGAGCTGGACCATTTTAAATACATATCCCTTTGTTGCTTTTTTTGGTCTTTGGTTGGTCTGATCTAATGGAAACCCATTACAGAGATTGATCTGAACATGTTGACTAGATTCATTTGTTAACGGATGCTACTTATTCCTCTCCGTCACCGTATTGATTAGGAAGTTAACAGTAGTAGTATGTTCAGACTATCAAGGTGGCAAATAATGTGTAGTCTTAAAACAAAGAAACATTGTTAAGCGAAAAATAACGTATTGGAAAAGTCTCCGCATTGTTTTCAGGGACAAAAAAGATTTAAAGATTTAAAAAACTCTGCAAACAAATAGACAGAGATGAAAGACTTCAAGGAAAACTAAGGATCTTTAAGGTTGATTGTGAAATTTGAGAGGTTTTCTGGAGATCAAAAGGGTTTCTTTTTGTAGTTTTTCAACGAACATTCAACCCTTGAATTGCTGGAGCAGATGCCTGAGATCCTTCCTCGGTTACCTTGTTCGATTCGATTGTAGTTATGACGTTTCCAATGTTATCCTAACACAACACAAGATAAAACAAAAAAAAATCAGGTTCAAGAGATGTTCTGTATGAAGAAGCGAAGTTTGGTATTTACCCTCCAAGTCGCGAGCTTTGTTCGAAGTGACTGCCATTGCTTTAACCCGAATTCACGTTCGGAACAGCGGCTGAGAGTTATGAATAATACCACCAAGTCATGAGCGTGCAAACAAAGACATATCTTTCAAGTAAAAGAGTTTCTACTAATGAAACTTGCCTGACAATGACAACTTGGTTCATCTGATCCATCTTACATTCAATCAACTTCGCGGCTATTGCCTTCACGATCCATAGTTCAACCTCCTCTTCCTTTACCTGAAACACACAGAAAACAGTAAGCAACTGAAAAATATAACCAATATTTCAGGGACTGAGTTTCTATACCTGTAGAGTGTCTTTAATTGAGGTGTACGGTATTTTGCCAGATTCATCTGACGCTAAGTCCACGAGTGACAACAATCTCATCTTCGTTACACAATCTTCATCAACAAGTCCTAAGAAACACCAGAGATATAAATGAAGGGTTCCCCAGGAGATCATATTTACAATTAGAAAATAAAACAGTAAACTGATTTAGAATTTGGTACCATAGCTTTTCAGACATTCTGCATTTGCAGCTTGGAAGTCCATGTAAGCATTCAGCCTCTGGGTAAGAAAGATCTTAAGTAGCTGGTAAACCGGTGCATACTTAGCATCCTTCTCTAACTGTGCTACGGCTGGCAAGTCCAATAAATCACACTGCAATTACACAGAATCATTGATGAAATACACAATAAAGACGGGTCTAACACATCCAAGTAAAATCATGCTTTTACGAACTATGATACCTGGAAGATGCTGGAAGCCTTGACAAACTCAATAACTGCACGCACAGCCTCCTCCTTAGCTTCACCCAGAGCATCCTCATTGGAGAAAGTCGCTAGATACTTGGTCAAGAAGTTAAGGGATTCTTTGACCAAGCTGGAACATTGATAGACAAAATCACGAGGCTATTGTTATATACCTAAAAAGGAAACCAGAGAGAGAAGAATGACGGAAGGTTATACCTTTTGTTTTCTCTCAGAACATTAGCAATGGCAAGGAAGAGTTGCCTCTGATCTTTAGTATCAACGTTCCACTCTTTCAAGAAGTTATCAATCTTCTTAAAAGAAGGAACTATGTACTCAGCAACCTTCCCTTCAACAGCCAGTGTTAGAGCTTTCATGTACACTTGGAAACGAGCATACGGTTGGTCCACAAGGTTATACAGATTGAACAGACTACACAATAAAACAAATAACCAAAAAACAATCAAACGCATGTAACTACAACTAATCATACAATACACAAGCAGGGAAAGAGCCATACATCTTCAAACGAAGTGAAGCTTTATCACTCGGTTGTTGAACAACCTTAGAAGAGATAGCATTCACCATTTCAAGAACATCCTCAGCACTATTCGCATTCTTAACAAGGCTGCAAATGATTGTGTAGGTACACTCAAGATCTGAATCAAAAGATACAAACAGGATGAGATGATGAACATACAACAAAAAAAAAGGAGAGATAACACAAACAAACCTTTCTCAGAGATCTTAGAAGATACCAATTCAGCTGAAGTTACCATTAACGAAGCTAACTCTAACCACTTTCCAGCTACTATAGACTCCTCAGCTTCTCTACATAGTCTCGTGATCTCTGGCTCTGCAGCCTACCAGAATAGCTCAATTAGACTAATCTTAGATGAACATGAACGATTACTATTCTATCGCTCCTCCATTAACAATCGGATCTTAAAATTGAAATGGCTTATGATGATACCTCGGGACCAGCATCAGCCCAGGCGAGCTGGGAAGTGAATCGGACGACGGCGAGGAACGGATCTTCTTCGGAAGTGGGAACAATCGTCGTCATAGCTTGGCTCTAAGCTCTCTTCTCTCTCGGCGGCGCTGAAGAACCGAAACTCGAGATTGTAACTTCTTTCAAGCAGCCGAGCAGAGAGAGATAGACGAGAGAGGAAGAAAGGAAGAAACCCTAATCTGTATTTTTATCTTTTCCGGTTAAGGTAAACCGAAATCGGATCGGGTTCATTAAAATTAATGGTTTTAAGTATCGGACGGTTAGTTAATAAATAAGAGAATCCAACGGTCAGGACTGAGCTTTATTAGTTTTTTCTTTTACAACAGCTTTAAAAGTTCACACTCATAGAAAACAAAAATGAAAAAATTTATAAGATAGACTTAAAACAATGTCACAAATATAGATTTTAAAAATAAAAATGACAAAAATAAAATTAAAGATTTTATCAAAAATAAATAATATACATTTATATTATTTGGTTAACTAATCCTAATCATAGAGTTTTGTGTTTAGAGTTTAGGAGTGGATTTTGGGATAAAATTTCAAATTTTTTTTTTAAAAAAAAAAGAAAAACTGAAGATTTTCAAAATAAAAATAATACTTTAGTTATTGTAATTTTGAAATATATTTTTTTGATAAAATCTCTAAAAAGTCTATACGAGAGAATTGACTAACAAAAATTATCCTCCTCAGTTTAGGAGTTTTAGAGCCGCCGTGTTTCGCCGGATCGTCCCCGTTGCCACCTCGGGCTCACCGTGAGTGCCAAGATTGATTATGAGTGAAACATACGCGACAATTAGATGGTGAAAACGCTCTGATACAAAGCCTTTTGCTGAGACTAAGCAGCAGCAGCTTTGAGCATTGTTTGTTTCTTTTATGATTTCAAGCACATTTGTTTGTTTATTTCTTGAAATTCTCAGAGACACATATTGTTTAAAAGATTTCTACAAGCACACAAGAACAGATCAAACTCAAACATCACAATGAATCACACACAAAGTTTTTTAAATTGATGGGAGGATGACATAGCCCACACATTTTGATGATTTACAATAGCCAAACAAGCAAACTTCATTTCTTTGGAGATTCAGCACTTGGTCCACCAAAGAGATAACCAAGAGAAGATCCTCCACCAGGTGCTGCATGAACCTTTGTAGATGGCCTCTCCTGTTCTCACAACCACACACATTTTTTCAATTTCTATTTCTATTCCAAAATCTTCAATTTTTCAAATCTCAAAATGTAACAAAAATATCTAATTATTTACCGTGAGGAAGTTGCCACAGTTCTGGCCTTCTGATCTGAAGTAATTATTAGGACTTCCTCTAACACCTGCAGGCACCTTCTTATTATCAGTAACCGTGGTCGTCGTGGTAGTCACCGGTCTCCCTCCAGTTCCATCAGTGGTAGTTGTGGTGGTTGTCGTCGTTGTGGTCCCCATCGTTGCTCCGGCGACGGAAGGAGACTCACCGGAACCAAAGAGGTAATCTAGAGAGCTTTGGTTGACACCATTGTTCACTCCTCTCGCTTTACCCATCTTTTTGCTGCTGCAATAGAGAGAGATCTGAAAATTTTGAGTAATGTTTCAGAGTTTTGTCTTAATCAGATCGGATACTTCAATGAGAAGAAAGATCCAGATAGGATTGTAATTGAGACATTAAAGACACGTAAGTAATGAGACAGATCAAGTGGATTGGTCTTTTTACCTCTTTGTAGTTTCGTAGTATCTTCTCTCTTCTTCTACGACTGGCTGCAAACAAGGAAAGAGAAAGAGATGGAATAATGGAAGTGAGAAGAAGTGGCAAGAAAAAGTTATACCCATAATGGGCTTTATGGGCCTTAATTTGGGCTTTTATTTTATGAATTAATCAAGCTCGACTATTAGTTAGTGATATAAATTGATGTAATTACCGTAGACATAAACCAATTTGTTCAATAGGCTAAGTAGCATTCACAGACAGAAAAAAAAAAAAAAAAAAAAAAACTAATTCATTGTACTTGTGACTGGGAACCC